GCAGGTCGAGGCTGCGGTGGCCGGGAGCGGCCACTGCACTCCAGTCTGGGCGACAGAGTGAGACTCCAACTCAAAAAAAAAAAAGGTTAAAATGATAAATTTTACGTTATTTATATTTTATTACAATAAAAACAAATAGATAGTTAAAAAAGAAAAAGTTAAAATCATAAATTTTATGTTATCTATATTTTACTATAATAAGAAAAAAAGGCAGCCATGTTCAGTGGCACATGCCTGTAGTCCCAACTGTTTAGAAAGCTGAAGAAAGGCCAGGCGTGATGGATCAAGCCTGTAATCCCAGTACTTTGGGAGTGAGGCAAGAGGATTGCCTGAGCCCGCGGGTTCAAGACCAGCTTGGGCAACATGGTGAGACCTCATTTCTACAATAAATCAAAAAATTAGCCAGGTGAGGTGTGATAGCGTGCGCCTGTAGTTCCAGCTACTTGGAAAGCTGAGGTGGAAGGATTGCCTGAGCCCAGCAGGTAGAGACGGCGGTGGCCAGGGGCGTGTCACTGTATTCCATCCTGGGCAACAGAGTGAGACTCTTAACTCAAAAAAAAAGGAAAGCTGAGGAAGATTGCTTGAGCCCAGGAGTTTGTGATCAACCTGGGCAACATAACAAGACTCTGTCTCTTGGGGGAAAAAACGAAAAATGTGGGAGCAGAAGGCCCATTCTGAATAAATAATAGTATTGAATCATAACCCAAAGGTTATTATCATTAGAGATAAGTCATGCTGTCATGTATCTCCTGATAAGATGTGATGAGGGTCTCTCACTTCTGTGATAGTCTTCCCAGAAACCTATAATCCCACTCTAATCATGAGAAAACACCAGACAAACCCAAATTAAGGGACATTTTACACTTTTGACTCCTCAAAAGTGTCAAAGCCATTAAAAAAATAAGGAAAGCCGGGCTCGGTGGCTCAGCCTGTAATCCCGCACCTTTGGGAGGCTGAGGTGAGTGGATTGCCTGAGCCCGCGGGTTCGAGACCCACCTGGGCAGCGAGACCTCATCTCTACAATAAATCAAAAAGTCAGCTGGGCGTGGTAGCGCATGCTTGTAATTCCGGCTACTCAGAAGGCTGAGGCAGAAGAATCGCCGGAGCCCAGCAGGTGAGGCTGCGGTGGCCGGGAGCAGCCACTGCCCTCCAGTCTGGGCGACAGAGTGAGGCTTCAACTCAAAAAAAAAAAAAAATTAAGGAAAGAGAGAGACTGTCACAAACCAGAGGAGACTAAGGAAACATGATGACTAAACACAGTGTGGTAACCTGAATTGGAACCTGGAACAGAAAAAAGAACATTGGTGAAAAAACTGATGAACTCCAAATAAACTCTATAGTTTATTTAATAGTATTGTACCAATGTTAACTTCTTAGTTTTGACAAATATACCATGATTATGAAAGATGTCAACATTGGGGAAGTTGTGTAAAGGGTATTGATAACTCTCTGTACCATCTCTGCAACTAGACTGTGAATCAACAATTATTCCAGCCAGGCGCGGTGGCTCAAGCCTATAATCCCAGCACTTTGGAAGGCAGAGGCGAGAGGATTGCCTGAGTTCTGGGTTTCGAGGCCAGCCTGAGCAACGTGGCGAGACCTCATCTCAACAATAAATCAAAAAATTAGCCGGGCATGGTGGCACATGCCTGTGGTTCTAGCTACTTGGAAGGCTGAGGTGGAAGATCACTTGAGCCCAGCAGGTCGAAGCTGCAGTGGCTGTGAGCATGCCACTGCACTACAGCCTGGGTGACAAGAGTGAGACTCTGACTCAAAGAAAAAATAAAAAATTGTTCCAAACAAAAAGTGTATTTAAAAATAATAGGGCCAGGCATGGTGGCTCATGCCTATAATCCCAGCACTTTGGGAGGCTGAGGTGAGAGGATTGCCTGAGACCATGAATTCAAGATCAGCCTGGACAACTTGGCAATACCTCGCCTCTTCAATAAATCAAAAAATTAGCCAGGTGTGGTGGTATGTGCCTGTAATTCCAGCTACTTGGAAGGCTGAGGTGGAAGGATTACCTGAGCCCAGCAGGTTGAGGCTGTGGTGGCTGTGTACGTGCCACTGCACTCCAGCCTGTGTGACAGAGTGAGACTTCAACTCAATAATAATAATAATAACAACAACAACAGCAATAATAATAATAGAAGCCGGGTATGGTGGCTCACTCCTATAATCCCAGTACTGTGGTAGGCTAAGGTGAGAAGATTGCCTGAGCCCAGGGGTTGGAGATCAGCCTGGGCAACTTGGCAAGACCTTGTCTCTACAATGAATCAAAAAATTAGCCAGGCATGGTGATACATGCCTATATAGTTCCAGCTACTTGGAAGGCTGAGGAGGAAGGATCACCTGAGCCCAGCAGGTTGAGGATGCGGTGGCCATGATTATTCCACTGCACCAGCCCGGGCAACAGTGAGACTCCAACTCACAAATAAATTTAATTTAATAGCCGGGCTCGGTGGCTCAGTCTGTAATCCCAGTACTTTGGGAGGCTGAGGTGAGTAGATTGCCTGAGCCCGCGGGTTCGTGACCTGCCTGGGCAACTTGGTGAAACCTCATCTCTACAATAAAATAAAATAAAAAATTAGCTGGGCGTGGTAGTGCACGCCTGTAGTTCCAGCTACTTGGAAGGCTGAGGGGGAAGGATTGCCGGAGTCCAGCAAGTCGAGGCTGCAGTGGCCGGGAGCGGCCACTGCACTCCAGTCTGGGTGACAGAGTGAGACTCCAACTCAAAAAAAAAAAAAATTTTAATTTAATTTAATGTAAACTTAAATACATAGAATTGGTGCTGTGTCGTAGCTTACACCCGTAATCCCAGCACTTTGGGAAGTCAAGGCAGGAGGACAGCTTGAGCCCAGGAGTTTGAGACCAGCCTAGGCAACATAGTGAGATCTCATCTCTACAAAAAAAATTTTAAAATAGGCTAGGTGTGGTGGTACAAGCCTGTAGTCCCAGCTACTTGGGAGGCTGATGTGGAAAGATCGTTTGCACCCAGGAATGTGAGGCTATGTTGTGCTGTGATTGTGCCACTGCACTCCAGACTGGGCGACAGAGTGAGACCCTGACTCCGAAAAAAAAAATATAGAATTAAAACATTCAGTAACAATAACATAGAAGTGAAGAGAGGGTGTTAGTATTCTAAGTTCTTTGAATTGCCTGGGAAAATGAGAAAAATATTTAACCTTGAATTTGGTAAGTTACGAATACATATTTTAATTTCTAGGATAACCACAAAGAAATGGAAATGGGGTATGTATCGTCCAAACTGAGAGAAAAATGGAGAGACATAGAACATTTAACCAATTCTAATCAAGGCAAAAAATAAGAGAATAAGACATAGCAGATAAAACAAAAAAGAAAACATTAAATACAATAGAGTTAATCTTCATTTCATCAGTAATTGTAACAATTTAAGTAAATTAACTGGTCCAGTTAAATAGAAAGATTATCAGACAACATTTTTAAAAGCATAATTAAATTCTGTTTTCAAGAGACACATGTAAAACATAAATACACAAAGAAGTTTAAAGTAAAATGAAAGAAGAAAACAGAGCATGCAAACAGAAAAGTACTAAAGTACAGTACTCGTACAGGCGAGCTTAATTTCTGGTCTAACCAAAACAGCAATAGTTCTCTCAGCATGGGACTCGGGATGTCAGCAATACAGATCTAAGGAAGCTTTGCGAATAGAGTAGCCATCAGAGCCGCGCCTGGCTCTCTGCATTCTTGGGCCTTTTGTCTCACAAGCTTCCTGTGACTATTATCACCCACTACTACCAGGGGTCGCTCTGCCTTATCTCTTTTGCTAGGAGCTCCAAATCAGCCTGTCTGCATCTGCTAGGGGAATCTTTGCCCACTAGCTGAACACTTAACAGAGTGGTCCTACATGGTCAGCAGGATCCCTGGATAGGAGAGCTTCTCCCTGTCCTTCGTTAAGCTAGGTTTGCTGGCGTGGCGAATACATTGCGATGTTCGACCAGTGAAATAACTCTAAACAGAGTCAGTCCAAACTATTAAGCAAACCCGGGTAGCCAGAAGCCTACCGGGTTTCTATAAAATGTGGTGAAAGCTCACCCCCTTCTCATGATAATAGTTCTGAAGTCACACCTCTTTGTATAGGTGATCAAGGAAGCACCTACGCTATCTTCACTGGACCAACTCTGTCTCTCCGCTCCAGCTCAACTCAGCTACCGTCTCTGGCAGAAAGCTTGCCCTGGCCTGCTTCTGCCCAGGTCGGGAAGCTCCCACGGGGGTTCCGTCTAGTTAGGTTCTCATCACCCGTCTGGGTTCTGGGGACGGATCGCCTGGAGGGCCCACACTCCCCGGTCCTGAAGCGGTACTGGAGTTAACGCCGGGTCCCGATGCCGCGGTCACTCACCACTGCAGGTGAAAGATGTGGCCACAGTGGATGGCGGCCACGTCGCGAGAGTGGTCGAAGAAATCGGAACAAATAGTGCACAGCGCACGAATAGGCATGGTGGCTGGACTCAAGGGCCACAGGTAGCCAAGGAAACGGCGGTGACCGCACCCACCCGCCTCCACTGGCTTCAAATTTGGCTCCAACGCGCGACTTCCTGGAGCGGGCCGGAAGTGACAGCACCAAGCTGGGGGCGGAGCCTAAATGCTTGGACTGAATTGGACAAACTCTCAGAGGTGGAACCAAGGGCGGGGCTTAGCCGCCCAGCGGCCGTAGAGAATCTTGGGGCGGAGCGTGGTTGCTCTCAGGCTTCTCCTGGGAGGACTGGGCCTATATCTCGAGAGCCCAGCGTTAGATTGGAGTGGGGAACGACGAAGGCGCTAGCAGGGCTCTTTTCCAGGACAAGGCAGGGCGTTGTGGTCCCAAGCCAGAGCTGGCGTGAGGCAGGCCGGGTCAGGGCCCCTCAAGCTCTGTTCTTGCACTTCTGAACAGCCGAGAAAACTGCAGTCGCAAGGGAGTGGGACGATGAGTCCCTTGGATTCTGGGCAGTGCTAGACCGGGCGCTGACAGTCTATGGTTCCCATAGACAAAAAGAGTACTCCACCCTCTCAGTTCTCTGTTCTGAGTGATTCTGGAAAGATAGACACACAGGTCCAACCCGTCAGGTCACTCCAAGTCAACCTTGGCTTAATCCAAGTAAGATATTGCGATCCCTGTGTTTGAGGACGCTAGGACAAGTACCTTTACTATCTCTTAGTTCCCAGGAGGATCATTTATGCCTGGGACTGTAGTAGGGCAAGAATTTTGGAATCCCAGATGCATCAAAGACCAGGGACTAGCAAACTTTTTATTATTCCTATATCAGAGAAGTTATCTTTAATGTCCTCCCTAAGAAAAAGCAGCAACCCTGTTGTGTTCACCGAGACCCACCTGGGCTGCAGTAAGTCTCCTTAAAGATTTTCATGTTTAGTATTTGTTGGAGTGTTACTCCTTCTCCCCAGAAGATACCTTATGCAGAGCCGCATAATACAAAGCTGATCTGCTCCAGCTGAAGTAGACCCAGCATGAGATTTCACTTTGGGCCTATGTGGAAAACACAGGTGTTCACAGGAAGAAGGAATCAACAGAGTAATCTGGAACCTTAGTGCAATTCCCACCCTATACCCTCTTCCCAGCCCAGGGAAGCCCACTTTGGCTATGAGCAAGATCTCTCCCTGTGGTGGTTGGCTCTGGGTGGGTTCCAGCTCTATGCCCAACTCAAGAGCAAGGCTCCTTGGTCAACAAGAGTCAGAACAGCAGCCCTTATATGAACTCTCAGTCCTAACCCAGTCCAGAACCCATCACCCACATGGATTTCTAGAATCCAGAGGACCCCCACCACCACTGAGGAATACACTGTGGTGAGGATGATCTTCATTCTCAGCTGAAGAAATCCACAGGGTACTGAGCACCAGCCACTACCTGCGAAACTGCTCCCAGCTTCTCCCCTCCCCACTGCCTTCCAGGGGTTCCTTCCCAGTAGGACAGAGGAAGCAAAGGCAAGAGGATGGCCAGAGGCTTTGCAGGATGATGTTTATTTGCCAGGTACAGCAGGCACACAGTCCACTGACCTTCACACACCAGAGCAGACCCACAGGCATGCAGGGAGAAGGGCAGGACCACCACGGAGTGCCGAGCAAGGGCGAGGACCAGTGTGGCTGCCTGTCCAGGCTATGGTAGGGTCTGACAAAGGGAACCTGTCAGGAGCCTCCCTTGGGGAACTGGGGAGTCTTATTCTACTTCCTCATCCAAACAAGAGCAATTCAGTGTGGCTCTGAGGCACCTGGGCCTCTGATAGAAGTAATCTGTAGAAATAGAGGGGGTTCTCCATTTTGTTGTTGAATTGAGAGCAGAAAACCTGCCCCTATAAAAGACAAGCCTCCAAATCAGATTATGGGGTATTGTCATGCAGCAAGCCCCCTGGGATGGAGAAGACTTGTGGACTGAGCCTGTAGGGGAGAAGGAGGAAGGCATTTAGAAAGTGAGGGACTATCAGACCTCCCTGTTTTGCCCAGAGCATGGACGCAGCTAGGTTGGAGCACTGAGTGCTAGGCCTATATACTGCCTTCCCAGGTCTCATTGCCACGTCTTAATTGTTCCTCCTTTCTCTTAGAAGCTCATGAGGTTCAGGGTACAAGGCAGCCCACTGCAGAACTCAGGAGGGCAGTAAATAACACAAGGATTTAAGAGGGACTTCCCAGGGACAAAGATGGAAGCTTATACCCTCCCACTCATTCTCTTCCACTTCTGAGGACCCCAAAGCTAGCGAGCAGTGCCCCCAGTCATGTGACCAGTCTTGATCTAAACATACTGCCCTGGATTTCTGCATCCTCTATACCAGCCTGTATCCACTCCTTTAGCAGCCCATACACCACAGGCACACACCATCATGTGCAGGAGCCTAAGACCACTGACAGGGCCTCGCTGGAGGACCAGCTCTCAGGGCAAGGCCACCCAAGTTTAGGGCCTGGGAGAGTATGGGACCTGCAGGACCTACCTAGGGGAATGGTGAGGCAAGAAGGAAAGGGGAAGGAGAGCAGGAGCCCCCTGAGTATCCCTAGAGCAGCATCCCACAGGGAACAGAAACTGGTGAAGCTAGCAAAAGACAGAAAAGCCACAAGGAATCCATGCAGGGGCTGGGGCCGGCCCTGCCTCTGGCCTGCCCACCACTCACACACATACACACAGGAGACTGCTCTCCCGTGGCCCCCAGACATGCCCCCCCCACTGGGATGTGGAGGCATAGGGGAGCGAGGGCATCATGCCAGTGACTCTATGTACAGTGAGAAGCCCCTCATCTACTCTCCCACCCTCCTGCCCATCCCCCGCCCCCCCTCACCAGGCCAGCCACTCAGCTGGTCTCCTCCCTCTGAGACTCCTGGGCAAAGCCAGCAGCCTCTTCCCCTTTACAAGAGGGTGGAGCCGGGCCTGTGGTGCCTTCTGGGGCTGTGCTGTCCGGCTGGGCCATAGCCGGCTCAGGGGTGGCAGCTGCCTTGGCGGCCAGTGTGGCACTGCTTTGGGTGGTGGGCACAGTGCTCTCTTCTGTGGCTGGTGTGGCTCTCCCTTCAGTGGCTGGAGTCGCGCTCCTGTCAGTGGCTGGGGTGATGCTCCCATCAGTGGCTGGGGTGATGCTCCCATCAGTGGCTGGGGTGACGCTCCCATCAGTGGCTGGGGTGATGCTTCCATCAGTGGCCGGAGTGGCACTACGGTCTGCAGAGGCCATATTATCACTCTTTGCAGCACAAGCGGCATCACCCTCTGTGGCTGGGGTAGCACTGCCCTCAGAGGCTGAGGCAGCTCCACTTGCTGCTGCAGCTGTGGCCCCACCTGCAGCCCCAGGGGTGGCAGTGTCTGTGGCTGAAGCAGACTGGGCTGCAGCCATGCTGGACTGCTCTGGCGCCCGGAGCCGTTTCATGAGGGTGGTCACTCGGACAGCCTTCTGAAAAGAGGACAGTGAAGAAAGGCTTAGAGGAAGGCTAGCTAAATCCATTGCTTGGCAATGGCCAAATCCAACCCCTTCCATGGTATCCCCAATCTGCCTCTGACCACGCCAGAGCCAGGGACCCAGCTGCTCAACACTTGCTTAAGGTAATGACAATAGCTACAGCCACACCCGATGGTCGGAGAAAAGCTTGTATATGGCTGCAGGGGTGTGGTGCAGGCAATAAACTATGAGTACCAGAAGGAACACTTGGGATTGGGCCTAAAAAGGGAGCTATTCAAGCCTTACCTTCCACTTGGCCCTGGCAAAGTTCTTTTCAATCTGGGCACAGACACCATCCTTGATGTTCTTATCAGAAGCAGCATTGCCGGAAATCCTGGGAAGGGTTGCAAGTGTGTCTGGCTCTAAGGGATTTGGGCCTTCATGGAGACTCTCCCAGCCCTTCCCTGTGGGATCCAGGAACTACCAGGTGGCCTGAGCTGGCCTGAGCTCTGGATGCTCCCCTCCACACTCAAGGCCTCAAGGATGGGGCCTACTAGGTGTGAGGAAGACAGAGGTCAGCTGAGCTCAGTAGCTCACATCTACAATCCCAACACTTTGGGAGGCTGAGGTGAGAGGATTGCCTGAGCTCAGCAGTTCAAGACCAGCCTGGGCAACTGGTGAGACCCCCATCTCTACAATAAATTTTTTTTTTTAAATGAGCTGGGCATGGTGGCACATGCCTGTAGTTCCAGCTACTTGGAAGGCTGAAGCAAAAGGATCGCCTATCACCTAAGCCCAGCAAGTTGAGGCTGCAGTGGCCGAGAGCATGCCACTGCCCTCCAGCCTGGGTGACAGAGTGAGACTCCAACTCAAA